AACTTCTAATTAAATCAGACGATAGACCAACACCAAAACTGGAGCTCCGGACTGAGAGGAAGAAAGGTTTTCAGATTTCAGTGGCTAGCTGGTAGCACCGAACTTCAGGGGTATTTTGCCTTTCCAACCTGTCTCGGGCGATTGAAAAGTACGGACGGCAAATCAAAATCTGACATCGACTGCGCTGTGAACCTGAAGCTGGCCATATCTACTGGCTCAGTTGCTGTGGACCTATAGGCCAGTGGGAAGTTCTACGACATGGTCATAATCACTTTGCCACCATGAAGCACAGGAGGATGGACTTCCTCTTTAAATACGGAGAACAAACCGCATATTTTTCTTTGCGCAGCTTTATAGAAAGTAAACTGACCAAATAGCAATGTATGTTATATTTGATGTGGTTATAGTCTGCAGTGTGTCTTGCGTTAAGTTGTTGTTTATCGTTGTTGTTAATATGAGCACCCGGACAGTGATCTTATAATCCAGGGGTCACCAACTTTTTTGAAACAGCGCTACTTCAAGGGTATGTAATAATATGATACACGATATTGTTTGATACAGACTTCCCGAACAATGTAATAATAATTCGTTCTGGGGCATACAATAGCAGACACTCTTCTTTCCACTTTAGGTACTCCATGGGGGCTACAAGGTGCCCCCGGGCACCATGTTACTGACCCATGATCTAATCAATGTCAAAACCTGATATTTATTGCCACATTTCTTGACAACAGTTCTAATTCCTCTGCCTCTTCCTGTGTCTCCTGCAGAAGTGTTTGCGGTTTAACCCAGATGCCACGGTGTGGAAGGCCAAGCAGCAGGTGCTGTGCTCCCTCACCGAATCACTGAGGGACGTCCTTAACTACGGTCTGTTCCAGCCCGCCACTGACGGCCATGATGCCAAGTTCTTGGAAGAGGAGCGGCTGCTCAAAGAGTACCCACAATCCTTTGAGAAAGGGGTGCCATATTTGGAGGTACTTTTGACACAGTTGTAGGACAGAAGTGATGTGACCTCAATTTATTCATGACTTCTCAGTTATTCATAAAGGAACTTCTGACATGACAGCTTCCTGCTCAAATTTTAAAAGCACAAAAACTTATTTGAGGATGTCTACGGAAGTTTCACTTTGTTTGTTTACAAGGTCAATGCATGTGGATGTGAATTTATTAGCTCCTCTCCTCAGTTCTGACTCATCTTTTACCTTCTTTTTAAACTACATTTTGAATCAGTCAATGCTTTAAGCTGCTGTTTTAAACCAGAGCATTTCCCCCCTTTCATGTTTCATGCCATCGGTGAATCTTAACTCTTTTCTCATTTCTATTTTTTTTCTCTCTGTTTCCTTTAGTTTCGATACAAGACCAGAGTTTACAAGCAGACCAACCTGGATGAGAAGCAACTAGCCAAACTGCACACTAAGGTATAAGGACAGTTGTAATGACATGGTTTTAAGTTTTTGAAGTATATACGTCTTTCAGAAACTGATACTAATAGAATACAATCAAAATATGTTTAATTTTGAAAATGAACTAATCCTTAACAATCCTGCAACAATCAGTGCGGCACTACAGGTCGTTGGTACAAAAAAGGTTGTAGACGGCTAAGCAAATGTTTGTACATGCCCCCAACACATCATATCCACATATGTGTATCCACAGTCGAGATATTGCTGTATATGTAAGGAATGGGTGAGTGCCCCTCCTGCTGACTAGAATTAAATCACATACAAATTTACTCAGTTGACTTTGCTTAATGTATAACAATAGCCTTACAATAGCTCCAAAAACACAGTCTTGTACAATTCATGCATTTTAAGGAAGTAAAGTTTTGTGGAAAAAAAGTCATATCACTACAATAAAACATGTCTTAGTGCTGTGGTGACATGAACCACATCACCAGTACAAACAGAGAGCTATGCTCTTGCTCACAATTGTATCCTGGGCCAGACATACAGTAGTACATGAGATATCACAACAAGCAGGTAGAGCTGTACGCAAAAGTGGTTACTGATGTAAAAATGGTCACACCAATATTTAGGCATTCTGTCATGACTTCCTACATTATTAAACTCCAATAATGAATTATGTGGATGACGGGGAAGTGCTGAGCATCCAATTAAAAATCAGTGATATACTCTGAAAACTAAAAACAAAGTTTACGTTCTCTCTGTACAGGCCAGTCTGAAGAAATTCATGGATTACATCCAAACCAGCGCTGTGGACAAGATGGCCAAGTTCTTGGACAAGGGGCTTGATCCCAACTATCAGGACAGTGACACTGGTGGTACGAAGTACCTCATTTTTATTTTCATAACATTTAATTAGAGTTGTCTCGATACCGTTTTATTTTACAAACCAACATGAGTACTTTCTTTTGTGTATTCACTCCTTGACTTCACCTTTTTTCCTAAACCTTACTGCCTGTCATGGTCTGCAGATAAATGTTGGGCATCTCCAAAAGGCCCACACAATGGGGTACATGGGCTGTACGAGTACCAAGCTGGTTGAAGTTTCAAAATGATTAAAATGTCATTTGACGTTTATCAAAATATGCACACATAATGCAGCGTATTCTGTGTTCCTGACTAAACACATTAGCTTGGTGAAGTCTGACAGCTGTACCTCTGATGTTAAAAACCTGATGTACACAACAACAACAAAACCTCCCACACTCTCTCACATGTTCTCCGGTCGTCTGCCCTCAGCTGTGCAGTACAATGGTCTCACACTCTGTCTGGGACCTTGAGCCAGCACACTTCAAAACACCTCAGATCCTGTGAGTGGTGTTGAGTCACCTCAGATGGTTCATTTACAGTTTGGCGTGCACAGCTTTGTGTCCCTGCTGCCACTCTGGGAGCAAGTGTCAAAATGAAAACACAGCCTGTCATCAGGGGTGCAAAGTAACACTTCCACTGCTCCACACCAGCTGGTTGGGGCGGGAGGGCAGCCAACAAAGAGTCTATCATAAATAATAGCCTTAACCGTGTGCAGAAAATGACTCACTATTCAAGACAGGAAAAAACACTTTATTCATTCATATTCATAAATACACTTACTGTATAGAAAAATAAGGGTGTCACCTAGTAGGTTCTAAGACAAATGAAAAAAAAAATTAAAAAACTATTCTTATTAAACAATTACATTTTGAAAAAGTTTTTTAAATTATTTTTTTAAATTATTTACTAAATACTTTATTATATAAATACATAAAGCCAACACATATCGACATGTCAGTTCTGAAGGAGATTCTGTTGAATTGGACTTGGTTGGTTTCAAACCCCGGGCCTGTGTGTGTGTGTGTGTGTGTTCACTCTCCAGAGACTGCTTTGTCCCTGGCTGTCCAATGTGAACCAGGTGGAGGTGAGTCCATTCGGGTTCTTGTGGATGGCGGAGCTCATATTGACTTCCGTGCCAAAGATGGACTCACACCTCTACACAAGGCTGTGAGAGGACACCGCCATACTGCCCTGCTGGTGAAGACCTACACTTTATCCTAAAATCACTCAAAACAATCTAGTAGTTTTTTTCTTTTTTTTCTTTATTTGATTCCAGTATGTTTTGGAACTCTGACATTTCCTTTTTCATTAAGTCCTGCATTTTCTATGCCTTTTCCATTTGGATAAACTATAAAAATCACAATCACAACAAACATTCTTTGGTAATGAGCCTTGTAATTTATGCCTTTTTTTAAACTTTTCCCTGCAGGTCCTGTTGTCTCTAGGTGCGTCCCCAGACTACAAGGACCGACGAGGGCTGACACCGCTTTACCACACTGTGCTGACAGGGGGCGACACCTCCTGCTGTGAAACACTGCTATACCACCACGCCAAGCTGGGCATCAGGGATGAGAACGGCTGGGATGAGACACATCAGGTACTCTAAACAGGTGTACTGACAATGTGACATGAAGAAGAACACACTATTGTTGTTTGTTTCATCAAGTGTCCTGGTTTTTGGTTGTATATAAATAGCCATCACTGTGTTATTCATAAATGGGTGTGCAGTAGGATGGTCATATTGTTTTTTCACATATTTTGCGTATATAAGTTGACAAAGCTAAGTAGTAATTATGGCAACATACTTAATTCAAATCTAATATACAGCAATATATGGTTTATTGCAAACAACAGAGGCACGTGTGTGCCTCTGTTTTTATAATGTAGTAATTTCCTCTTTGTTCCAGTGTTTATGTGTGTCACGCCATCCTTCCATGAAACATCGCACCTTCCATATAAAATAGCCTCCATCCCATCATCCTTTTTTAATGGACTGGTGGAACCAGGAAAAAAGAAACGACCAATAAAGGTATCATTCACTTCATGTCCTTTGCATATTGTCAACATTCGTCCATCAATCTTCAAAGTGTCTCATACTGTCCTGTCATTATGGTCCAGGTGAACTTGGTGGGCTCCATCCCATCGAAGCTTAGCTTATATTTTATACAAATTTGAAGGATCACTTTCAGCCTGTTCCTTTGTCAGAACAAGAGAGGGACTTCAACTAACTCCACCACTCTAATAGCCTAACCTAACCTCTTCAATAAAGTTTTAAGTTTGTTTAAAGTTTTAAACAAACATGAGCTGACTATTAGTGGAGGGGGTTGTTGGTAATGGTGTACTAACTACTGCCAATAGTTGGAGTACAATGACCTCAGTCTACAGAGGTGAAGAGAGTCCACTTGTCCCTGACACTAATGTGAACACCCAGTATACAGTATATTTAATAAAGGTCAGGATACCTTTGAAGTACAATAGCAATCCAAGTTTTAAAAACTTTTAGTCCACATCAGCACAAGACACGTCTGGATGATTGGGCTTTCAAGGTCCATGGCACAAACTGCACAAAACATAAAACACTCTATAATCTATAAAATTCCTACAGAGACCTTGAAACACTAAAGTTCTTCACGGGTAAGTTAATGCCTGAAACGGAAGTACAAAATATAAAAGTTTATAAAATTAAAAAAATTGTCTTGATACCAGTAAAATGTTAACTCTTGGCACAATAAGTTCCAGCACTAAGTCTATATGAGTCTGTATTTGAATTGATTAATAGTTTTTATGTTTTTTTTTTTTTCTTTTTGTCATCATCAGGCCTGTCAGCATGGCAACTCACAGCACCTGGAGCACCTCCTCTTCTATGGGGCAGATTCCAGCTCCCAGAATGCCTCTGGAAACACTGCCTTGCACATATGTGCTTTATACAACAAAGTAAAGACTTGATTTTTTTAATTTAAATTTTAGATTTTTATAGTATAGTATGAATAGACTAGGCTGTTGAAAACATTTAATTAACTCATGAATAGTAAAGCAAGTGAATAAAATTGGACCAATTGCATGTCTCACAACACAAGGCCACACAAAGCACATTATTTAATTATGTTTGTTGCAGGAAAGCTGTGCACGAATTCTGCTCTACCGTGGTGCAAATAAAGACACGAAGAATAACAGTGGGCAGACTCCCTTTCAGGTAATAGCTGTGTACAGGGCTGAGTAATTATGTCTGTTGGTGGGTGTATGCTTTAGTGTTTGATGACGTTACTGTAACACAGCACAAAGTACCAGGCCATGATTTAACTTTAACCATTGTTGTGCTGTGATAAACACACTGGCCTCAGGTGAGTGAGTGAGTGAGTGGGTGGGTGTGTGTGTGTGTGCAAGACCCTTTAATCTGCATAAACCAACTCACTCAGTTGTTGTAATTGTATAACGAGATTGTTTGTGTTTTTTTTTATCAGGTGGCTGTCATGTCCGGCCATTTTGAACTGGGAGAAATAATTAAAAACCATCGGGATACAGATGTGGGTAAGCAGCCACACTCAAACCTCAAATCATAGTTTTCATTCACAGACATGGTGTGGTTTACACATTCACAATTGTGTTTATTGTGTAAAATTCGTTAACATACTCTAAAGCCTTGACCCTAACGCTATGATATCAATCAACAAACACACTCATCACACGGGCCATAGTTTCAGACTACACTCCGATGTTACCTTTAGCACAGATGATTTTACAAGCTTTTAAAACATTTTTATCATAATGATTATGAATATGGTTAACGATGCTGTTAATGTTTTACACAAAAAAACCACCTAATCTAAACTATAACGTCACCATAACATCAGGAAAGAAGTTGTGCTTATAAAAATGCAAAAACTTAAAAGGGAATTAGACTCACACGCACTCTCTGGTGGACGACTAAATGTACTGCATCTTTTACCGAGAGAGGAGTTTAAAGAAATGTGACAGAAGTGTGGACAAAGTGTGTATGGAAATCTGATCACTCATCTTCTCTGATCACTTTCTAGTTCCCTTTGTGGAGTCTCCAAAGTTTGCTCCTCAGAGGAAACAGCCTTCCCGCACACTGACCATACCCCATCCTCACCCCTTCCTACGGGCCAACAGTGACAGCAGCATGAACCTTCCTGAATGGATGGCAGTTCCCAACGCTCCCATCACGAACATCGTCTCTGTTCAGGTGAGTTCGGTTTGTGTGTGTCCGTTTGAGTCAAGTTGACCTCCCCTAATAAAAAGAGTTATATCTTAATGAAGTCTTATGTGCATCTGTGTTGGATTACACTATATAAATAACTAATATATCTGAGTCTTATATTGATTTGCGGGTATAAACCACAGCCTGAATTTAAATGACCTCTCAGAGGTTCTAGATGTATTTTTCTGTGTATGTAATTGATCACCCTGCAGTGTTGTTATGTTGTTAGCCATCTATACTCATTGATTATATCCCTTTACTTAGTATGACAACTATATAAGAAACACTGTATTAATATTTAATGGAGTGGAATACCACAGAATATAGCCAGTGAACAGACACACGGCCAACATACTGTAGATACTACACACATATCGTAAGTAATTCTTATTCATTTAAAACCTGTTAATCAATATGTCATGTAATCTGATATAGTAAAATGGGTTGAAAATATGGATTAGATCAGTTGTGTATCTACAGTATGTAAATGTTAGGTTGCATCAACTCTTGGAATTATACTGATTTATATTCACTCTGTGAGCTCAGTACTTCTGAAGAGCATTAAAAATAGAACATTATAAAAAAAGTTAACCTAATGATTATTTCTTTTGCTCAGGATTTGTCATGAACAGCTCTTCAGCAACACAGAAAACAATTTGCTTACAGTAGTCTTGATCTATCTCTAGTGGTACAACACTTTATTTCTTGCAAACAAAAAAAAAACTTTACTGGTACTTCACTGAACTCATGTTTTACCATCTACCTACTGATGGCAAGGCCACGTGGGGCAACGTCCTAAAGTCGGAAATTGATCCACAACCCAGACCACGTATTACCACTGAACCACAACCACTCCAGTGTCAATATCAGATTTCTTCTTCCCCAGGGTTACAAACATACTGGAACCCTGCGGAGCTCTAGCAGCCCCAGAGGAGCAAGAACACGTTCTCCGTCACGAGGGAGGATTGGAGACAAGGAGGACCGCAGCAGGCAGAGTCGGAGGCAGGGGTAAGTGGAGGATGCTACTAATTGTTCCCAATCAGAGCCGCTGTTGTAAATATAAAATAGTTGTTTTACACGAATGTTGTTGAATTGTAATTGTAGTATGGAAATCAATACAAACGTTTATAAAATTTTTTATAATCATTTATAATCATTTTTCTTTAATATATTTTACTCTCACTTTGTATGTCATTTCACAGACATTTCGTAGCTCATTAAAATAAAAAAACACCAATAAATGAAGAAGTTTGAATAATCAAGATTACAGATAAAATATAAGTATTTTATCTGTAATTGCAGCACTATTATGTTCATTAATGTTTATTTTTAAACCTGTTCTTGTTCTGACTCTTGTCCTCCATGAACCCAGGCCGGCCCCCACTACGACCACCACCATACAGACAGCGGGGCAAAGGAGACGCCTCTACAGTGCCGTCCCGGGTCGAGTCTTTGTAGCTACTCGAGCACATTCAGCACAGGGAGAGCGAGAAATCAGCTTTAATAAAGGAGACAGGGTTAAAGGTGAGATGGTGTGTTACTCAAAATTACAACAATCTGTACACATACACTATATATTTATACGTGTTGTATGACAATCTGTGTCTATGTGCTGAAGCATTTGCCTTTTGTCTTCTCTGTGATTTGTCTTTCTGGTTAGGGATCTGTGTTTGTGATGTTTTGTAAAACCTGGTATTAAAATCACTCAAATGTCACGAAAAACAGTTGAGCCAAAAGGACTTTTGTGAGGTTAAATACTGTGTGTAACACCTACAGAATTGTAGCTATGTCTGGTGTAGTGTAGTCCCACTCTAACATGATCTTACTGTATATACAGTGCCCTCCAAAAACATTATTTAAAATACTGTTAAACTGTGAAAGAGTATTATTAATACTAATTTTGTCCCAAACCTTGGGTTTGATCATTTTGAATCTCAAGATTTGGACTTGTATTTTCATTAAGCAGATATATTTACTCTTTGAAACACAATCTTCAGTTATTACTCTTATTGCAATTTTTTTGGAGTTTTCTGATATTAAAATAATTATAAATAAACATCATAACATTCCATTTGGACCAAACACTGTTTTCTGTACAAATATTATTAACTTTTGTACCATAAAGTAAATAGTAGCCCTTATGAAATACATGTAGAATCATGAAAAAAAAAATTGTCTAGTGAACTCACAAAAAAATCTGTCAACAGTCCACACCAGGAGAAGTGTCTTTAGATGTCGTTTTCTTAACTTGAGTGTAAGGTCTCTATATATGTTTGTATTCAATGTCTGCAGGTATGAATATGTGTGTGTTTGTGAGTGAGTCTAAGGTGTCGCCAGGTATGTATGTCTTGGTGAGTATGTAGGAGGTTTGCATGTCTGTCTGTGTGTGTGTCTGCATTCTTTCTTTTACGTTTGTCGATGTTGTTTTTTCCGTTTAGTGTGTGTTTTACTCCATTGTTACCTGCCTGTGTGTCTGTGGATGTTGTTACATTGGTTTGCTTTGTTGACCTGACATATTTGTCTCTCTACCTCCCTCCAGTGTTGAGCGTTGGTGAGGGCGGATACTGGGAGGGCACTGTCAGAGGTCGCACAGGCTGGTTCCCCTCTGACTGTGTAGAGGAAGTGATTCTCCGGAGCCAAGAGACACGATCAGGTGATGAGCATGGTACACAACAGAAAAAATTAAACACACACCTATTCCTCATTCCTTTCGATGGAGTTATCTTTAAATAATCATCAACAATCTCAGACACTTTTTTTTTAGAAAACGCAATTCAAGGTAAGAACAATAAGTAAATATATATAAAAAAATCCCACCAGCATTATTTTTTCATGTTTTAAATATTATAGCTCAAACTTTCTCTGTCCTATGATCGAAACCTCAGTTTATCCAGACAAAGAAAATAAAAAGACGTGTTAGTGTTTGAGTGTCAGATGATCCTCTATGATCATCTTTTTAAATGATCTGTTTTCTGGGGTTTTCAGAGAGTCGTGGAGAAAGGGCAAAAAGACTGTTCCGTCATTACACAGTGGGTTCCTACGACAGCTTTGATGCTCCTAGGTAAGAGAGCGTCTCTGCTGTTCTCTTTAGTTTGGGTATGATCCAGACAACAACTGATGCTGTCTGTGAATAAGTGGCACTGCTTCGCCTAACATTTTCACAGGAGTGTTTACTTGGTGTGAAAGCAGATTCAGGTTGGTGCTAGTAATTGAAAGACAGGTAAGGCCACGCTGCCCTCTACACGGCTGTTTGGACCATTGTGTCACCTGTGGTCTGAGCATGAGCAGAATGGAGAATTGGGATTTGCAACTGGATTGGATTTGCATTTATATCATTTCTGGCATGCCATTAACACTAATGCACACACTGCAGCCTGGTAGATCCACAGGGCTTATTAGGCAAAACAATTTGGAAAATAGTGATGAAAAAGGAAGATGAGATTATACTGCTTGGCTTGTTGGAAGTTTCTTTTAAACTTCCTGAAGGTAGCATGGATAAGAACATGGGCAAAAGATGAGAGAGAGAAGAGAATGAAAAGGGTTTATTTTTATTGCTATCACAGCAAAATAACCCTTTTCAATAATTTCATCACTCATTATGATGCTTCAGATTTCATTACCTTCATTCAATATTATTTTTTCATTTCATACTTGCTGTGTGTTAATTACTAACAAGCTTAAAGTCAACTCTAATCGTTTTCATGCAGGTGACATCTTCACAAAAGCCAACACATATGTTTGGGGATAAACATGTTGTCAGACACTCCTTGGATAATTACAGCCATGTGTCCTGCATCCTGGACAGAGTATCAGACTAGTTTTCTTAGCCAAGCAGGCAGAGCCGGATCAGAGCTGCACTCACATGGACCCAGCTCAGCAGCCTTTACAAATCTCGTCATGTAAAATCTCACCTATTCCTCCTTTCATCCTTCTATATTTGGCTTCATCTCCCAAACATGCCTCCATCCTTACACTGCTTTCTATTCATCACTTTATTCCTAACCCCCCTGTACACTTTCATTTTCTTCCCATCACCCTCTCCCCCCTGCAGTGCCTCCATCTGGAAGTCAGACCCTGAAGGGCGCTCTAAAGGGAGGGTGGGATGAAATAGCTTGGGTGAAAGAAGAAAGGCAGGAGACACACATTGTGGTTGGTTTCATGGCATCAGAAGATTAAAGTAGGCCACCAAAAAAAAAAAACAAGAAAGATGTTCTCTTTGATTTTTTTTTCTTCTCTTTATTCTTTCTGTGTGGACCTGCGTAAAGAAGAGTAGAGAATGGGATTCATTTTTATTATAAATGGCAATGACAAGATTGTGGTTGTCATTGACGCAGTTTATTGGTGTGACAGTGAATGGAGGAAAACCGTTCTAACATCAGTGACTGGTGTGTAAATGTGGACTCTCATATTAGCACTGATGTAGTCTTGAACATGGTAACTTGTCTAGTTACTAAGTTTCATTGTGTTAATGTAAATATTGTATAGGAAGAATACATACAGGAGTATAGTTCAAAATACATTTATTGACGACTAAGTAGTGATTTTTGATTTGATAGGGTACCGAGTACTTTTTTTTAATCCAATAAACTCAGGACAAATACTGTCCATTTAACTTTACTATGTTCTTTTTAGAAAACAATTCTGAGAACAAATTGTTACTTTTTTATGGTATGATATGGTTTCAACTTTGGCCACAAGATGGAGTGGTGCAAGATCACCTGTTAGCTATTTTGATCCCGATGTTGTTGAAAATGATTAGGCTGTAGAAGATAAATGAATAAATGTTACCACTTCATCATACCAACAGGTCCCCTCAATTTCATTGTACCCCTGCTACACAATGACAATTAAGACTGTTCTATTCTATGTCAGTGTTCGGTCATGATAGCTCCACTGACACATGCTAATGGACTACGTAACAGTCTCATCATTACCTGTCAAGGACTGCAGGGCCCCACCCTCAGTGCTACATTCAGCGTTATAGTAATTTAGCCTAATGCATTAATAGCTGCTGTCGACACATACTCTACCACCATGAAGCCATTCGGTGTAATGGTAATTGTACAACAGTGGAATGAGTGACAAAGTCGGGGAACCTGCTATAACATTTGCTCACATTACACACTAGATGTTTCTACATTTAACTGACTGTGAATTTAACTGTGGTTTCTTTTTCACACTGTGGCCTTGAAGCAGATTTTTGCAGGATTTGTCGACTCTGATGTCTGAAAAAGACTGATAGGTTGATATTCAGCTGTTTGATGGATGCCTCGCATTAGCCAAACACGTTGGTTAATCTCTAATGGACAAAGTCATCTTCTCCGCCACTCATTGATCTTCACCCCACGTTCAGCTCACTGCCTGTTTTTGACAGCTGGATATATTTTCTAGCTTAATTTTGTTTTTACATCCCTGGACCAGGGAAGCTGAAAGTGTGATTAGTGAAACCTGGTGATCAGTTAGACTCACCTTGATAATGCAGGTAGTACATTAACACTAGGACTCTAAGGAACCAGGGCTCAGGAGTCATTTAAGACGACTGCTAATCAGTCAAAGATAATTTATTTGTTTCTGCTGTAATCATGTTTTCAGATTATTCACATTACTCCTGCTATTTCCATCAGAGCCCCGTTGTCAGTGAGTGGCAGTTTTAATGGTGTGCAGTGTAAATTATCTGGCGTTACTTCAAATTTTATTGCAAGAAAATTCAAACAAGAAAGATGGATATAATAAAATATAATCAAATTGAATATTTTTTAACAGTTATTTATAATGAGCCCATTTAAAACAGAGACTATATTAATACTGGGTCACCCACATTTTATTAATTATACATTAATCATTATACATTTACTTTATACTGGGGATTCTTATTGTTGCAGTTTTCAAATTATTACTTGTTTGTGGCGATGATTCTCCCCTTCAGGAATTAACAGGCATTTTCAACTGGAGTCTAATCCAGACTGCAGGAAGGCTAAACTAGCAGTAAAATAAGAAATAAAATTATAAAGTCAATCTTTTAAAATTCATCAAGTTGTTGTCTTAATGGTACAGATGTTCTTTAAGTAAACGTAGTGTATATTTTACAAAGTCTTTACAAAGTGATTTGATTTGGAGCAGCTAATGGGATAGCCAGCACGTTTTGGTTTGTTTTTAATGAAAAAGATTTAATATTTAAAGATAATATTCATCTGCTTACCGTCCTTGCCACAGATGCTTTAACACAATCTGTACATGTAGCTTCTCCTCTGCCAGCCCATATGAGACCATTTTTGGTCCAACAGTGGGTCAAATAAGGACAGGCAGGCATGCAGTTTGGAGGGAGAGCGGCTCCCTGCTAAAGACTGCTATAATGGTTCTGTTGTTTTTTGTATAGGCTGCATGGATAGTGCGTGGATTACCTCCTGCACGTAAAACACAACAGCTGCCCGACATGTTTCGTTTTGAAACACACTCTCTTTTACTCTATTTCTCCTTTTCTCTCTCTTTCTCTCTCTGTCCCCTCTTCCTTGTCTCTCTCTCTCGGTCTCTCTCTCTCTCTCTCTCTCTCTCATCACACATGCTTCCACACACAAACACAAATATACACACACACGGTTACTCACAGAATCACAGCAGTATAGCCTGACATGCAGGGAGAGAAACCAAAAGGCACAGAAGAGGCAGGAGAGGGGTTAGGAGTTGTGTTCTCCTCCCAGTACTGGAGGGAAGCAAGGGTTAAAAACAGAGGGAGAGAAGGAAAGAG